TGTTGGCCAGGCTGGTCTTGAACTCCTACCTCAGGTGATCCACCTTGGCCCCCCAAAGTGCTGGGATTACAGGCATGAGCCACCACCCCTGGCCAATTTGTTATTTTTGTAGATACGGGGTCTCCCTATGTTGCCCAGGCTGGCCTCAAACTCCTTGTCTCAAGTGATCCTCCTGTCTGGGCCTCCTAAAGTGCTGGGATTGTGGGTGTGAGCCACCATGCCTGGCCCAGACCATGATTCTATATAGCACACATAGGTGCTATCCACTCTCTGCCAGGAACTGTCCTAATCCCTTTATTTATTGACCCTTTTACATTGTGTATTAGATAAGCAAACTGCGGTACAGAGAGGAGAAGCACTGGCCCAAGGTCACCTGGTCAGTAAGTGGTAGGGCCAGCTTCCAGTCTAGGCCTCAGTGTGTAACCTGGCATCTGTGGGGCTCTCTCTGCTTCACACCTGGTTCTCCTGCTGGGTTTGATTCCCCTTCGTGTCCTCAGAGCCTGGCACTGTGCCTGGCATGCAGTAAGCAACCCATAAATGTATGGAGGGAATGAGAGAGTAAAGGGCTTTGCTTTGTCCTGAATTCGGATCTTGGGCTCAGTGTTCTGGCAGTGGGGTATTAGAGTGGATTTTTTTTTTTTTTTTTATTTCACTGTAATAGAGACAAGGTCTCTCCATGTTGCCCAGGCTAGTCTTAAACTCCCGGGCTCAAGTGATCCCCCCGGCTTGGCCTCCTAAAGTGGTGGGATTAAGGGCATGAGCCACTGTAACCTGGTCAGCTATTTTTGACTTGAGTAGATCGTCCTCCCTTAACTTTCCTTGTTCCTGGTCTTTTCTTTTTTCTTTGAGGCAGAGTTCTGCTCTTCTTGCCCAGGCTGGTGTGCAATGGCACGATCTTGGCTCACTGCGACCTCGGCCTCCTGGGTTTAAGAGAGTCTCCTGCCTCAGCCTCCCCAGTAACTGGGATTACAGGCACACGCCATCACGCCTGGCTAATTTTTGTATTTTTAGTAGAGACGAGGTTTCACCACGTTGGCCAGGCTGGTCTCAAACTCGACCTCGGGTGATCCACATGCCTCGACCTCCCAAAGTGGTGGGATTACGGGTGTGAGCCACCATGCCTGGCCGTTCCTGGTCTTTGGATCATTCATTTATGCCTCTGTCTGTCACCCTGGGGACACGGGGGTGATAGTCTGAGGGCTGGGGCTTTTGACCCCTCAGGGGACTTTGAGCTGGGCTGGCCGAGGGGTGAACTGGTCTGTGAGATCCTCAGCCTGTCTTCATCCACATGAGGTCTCTGGGATGGAATGGAGGACAGCTTGCTGTGAATGTATCAGAAACATTCTGACTATATCTCAGGGAACCAGAATACACAGGCACTGGGAATATGGGACAGGATGCAGCCAGCATACATTTTTTTTTTTCCCTTTGAGATGGAGTCTCACTCTGTCACCCAGGCTGGAATGCCGTGGCGTGATCTCAGCTCACTGTAGCCTCTGCCTTCCAGGTTCAAATGATTCTCCTGCCTCAGCTTCCCAGGTAGCTGGGACTACAGGTGCACGCCACCATGCCTGGATAATTTTTGTATTTTTAGTAGAGAGTTTCACCATGTTGGTCAGGCTGGTCTCAAATTCCTGACCTCAAGTGACCTGCCCGCCTTGGCCTCCCAAAGTGCTGGGATTACAGGTATGAGCCACTGCGCCGTCTGCAGAGTGCTGTGCGAGAGTGAAGGTGGGGAGCTTGGTTTGGTCTGGAGGATAACCAGGCTTCTCTGAGGGAGGGATGGTGGAGCTGAAGCCTGAGAATCAGCAGGTTGTTAAAAAATTGAAGGGTCTGAGGGCAGAGGACCAGATGGGGAGAATAGCGCATGTAAAGTCCTGAGGGTCACAAGGGAAGACTTGAGAGTTCTGTGTGGCTGGAGCAGAGATGGCCGAGGCGGAGAGCAGGGGCGATGGGGCAGAGGCTGACCCCGGGAACGTTGAGCATCAGGACAGGTGGGTTTTGTTTTTCATTCCAGGTACTCTG